TGAAGTTAATTTTGCAAATGGTGTATGTGATTATTTATCAGTGCTCGATTTTTCCTCATAATTTATTTTATTGAAGGCAGTGCTACTGCTGAGGTGTTTGGTCACAACTCGTTCAACTGACTATAAAATGGTCGACGGTCAGGTGACGGAACCAGGACCGACCAATGACGATGTTACGAAAATGATCCTTCTTGCCAACAACCGTTTGACTGAAAATTATATGAGGGACCCACAAACAGCAGTCATATCGGCGGTTAGTCTGTCGGATTTTTCAGATGTGTATCTTCTCATTACAAGCGCAGTTTGGAATGTCAATTCTATAGAATGATGACTGACGAAGTACAACACGCGTTAAAAAAGGATATCTGAAAACTGAGGAATTCAAGCATGCGGTGGCGGAAATGAGTTGATCCTCACCTTGAAAGGTGCGATGCGGTTATGCAAAAAATCGCCCTGTAGCCAGTATGTTGAGGGAAGTAGACGATGAACGCTTTGTAGGATTCTGGAAGAAATCCACGCTGTTTCAAACAATAAGCGACGCTCTCATTAATATGTGGCCGAGAAAAACCGTCCGAAAGCTTGCGTTGCGCCTAATGAACCGCTGCCTTGAGGGTGGGTGGTGGTGATATATTATAGTAAGTTGGATGCTGAAGGAGGGGGAATCTTCCTACTAGAAGGAGGACTGAGGCGAGAGCTGACGCTTTCATGGCAGAAATGTGGGACCGCATCGACTTAGCGAAGCTCTGGTTATCGTCGCCTTCGTGCATCAGCACCTAAGTGGGTGAATGAAATAGAAGCGTGTTGGATGCTGGCATTGTCATGGTATTATCGTCGTTCGTTTTTTTTTCAATTTTGGAACTTTAACCTCATTTCCCTTCAGGCCATTTATCTTGTCTATGTAAGACGTTATCAATCAAAGCGTGATTGTTGTTGCAGTGTATCTTGATTAAGACATACTAGGTACCAGGGTGAATAACGGTCGAGGATTTCCTCGACCATAGCTCTCTACCATGCGAGAGTAGTGCCGAGAGTGAACATCCGCGCGGAGAGCACAGACGGCACGCGCATGGCGAGTGTGAATGTCCGCGCGAGAGATCGTCTCTGATCGGGCAGAGAATCCTCGACGTGCCGTTGAGGAATCCTCAAGCGATATTCACCCTGCTAGGCACTGCCTTGACACTAACTTGTCCAAAAGGGAAATCAAGGATGTGGTCCCCTTCCATAGGCTTTGGAAGGTTCCCTTAGTTTTTTCTTCGCCACTGCACCGTTTACCACCTCCAACTTGATTTTCAAAAAAGACCAATTTATCGCACCATGTGTTTGTAAGAGGCATTTCAAAGAATTACCGTACCGATCCTCCTTTTAACCGATTTAGTTCCTTCTCTTGAAATTTCAAGGTATTCTTTCAGATAGTGAAACAAGTAAGAACGGTATGTCGATGTGATTGGGTAGACGCATTCTGTATTGCGCGGTCACTTTATTCAATGCTCAACCTAAAATTCGATGAACGAACAATACGCAGCACTATCAAAGAGGTACGATGAATAAGAACTTTTTTTTCTGTTCAGCTTTTTTGTAGGTTTTAGGTCCTTAGGGACTGAATTACAACAGCGCCCACTTTACTTATTCCACTTTGCTCTACCGATCAGTGAGTGCCTAAAAGAAGAACTCTTGAACGGCACAATACCAATGCCCAATTCAAAGCGCAATGCTAATGGAGTGGAATAAAGTGTGAAAATAGCCTTAGACAACGTTTCCACTCTGCTAACCTGCAGATGTCCAGGGTCAACCGTCGCATTCTTTTCCAAAATTCCACGACCCCCACTACCACATCGGCCTGAAAGGGTCTCCCATACAACCCCTGGCTGCTATCCTCGCCATCATCCTTCTCTCTCTCTCTATAATAATTTTGATTTTGACACCAGAGACAGCGGATGAGTCGCAGCGTGTGCGACGTAGAACGTGTAATGGCATATTCTATTTAACTTGACGCAACATCCTAAATATGACGCGCCGCTTCCGCTGACTCTTGGTCCTATCTGAGACAAAAGCCGGCGCCTCGTCTGTCGGGTCGACACTACAATCAGCCACAGTGCTGCCGCAGTCGCTGTCAGTGTTCTTCACTTACCTGCGAAGCCAGCCTTTATCTGTTATTATTGCTGTTGACTCTACTCCATCTACTCATGATCATGATGTGTACAAGTCGCAGGAGCTATTAATCTTACCCCACCAGAAGGAGTCCACTGACTGCTTAAAGAGATGAAGAGGTTCGAGATATTATAACATCAGAACAGAGAAGCACACTCAGCAATACACAGGGGAACCATTCACTTGAAAAAAGAGTACCAAAACGAAGGCGGGGAATTTAGCCGAAAGATGCAGCGTTTCGGAGTGATCGCACAGAAAACAGGGGGAGAGTCGTACACGCAAGGTCCGGCGGCAGCGTCAATCTGGCCCAACGAAGGGGAGGGGTCTAGTGAGCTTATGTGAATGCGATATTTTGTCATACGTAAAATTCGTTCTCCAAATCGTAATGTATGTATACTCTCAAGGATATGCATATCTGTGGTTTCCTGTGTCAAACTGGCTAGAATCAGATGCTACTTGCGATTAACCGCTCTGATGTAAAGAGTGGTATCGTATTGAGATGACCTCCTTATCCTCATGCGTGGTGAGGGGTAGTCTGTTTTTGTAAATTCCCAATAAAACAATCTATACGTCGTAAAGCCGAACTGAGGGGTCGTGTCAGCCGTCCGAAGGGCCACAAGGATAAGTGGAAATTTTTGAATAATTTGTCAACGTGACGGTTGACCCTGCTCGGGATGATCTCCTTTTGTTTGATATAACAACCACTCCTTGAGGAGAAAGTATCACATCCAAGCTGCAAGCTTTAGACTTCGTAGCCAATTTTTTACGCCCGTAGCTTACTTGCATATATACGGCATTGCAAAGAGGTCTTTTTCCTATAGAATTATGTTCTTTACTTTTAAATTTAAACTTTTTTCGTATTATAGATTCACCACGAAATTCACCTCTCAGAATGCAGCTCGCGAAAATTCAGAAAACTTCTGGGCATCATTTGACGTAGAACTTTGGTTGAAAACTGGCTGCTGTGCACTGCTTCGATCAGAACGAGCAATGCAACGGTGGGTAACCTTATTTCGTTTCGTTTAGAAGAAAGAAGCTAGAAGATTGTTTTGCAACAGAAAAGGGGGCAAGGGAGAGAACCCGAGAAGGTGGCCTACTACCAGTTGATTTGGCTAGTTGTCTGCAGTGACAGATATCTGCGTATGCACATGAGTTTTCGCCCTTAGACTTTCAGTTTCTATGTCGTAAATACTTTTATTTGATATCGCGTGCAGTCGCACTGCAGATCATGCATTTGGCCTGGTTACCAATTTATGTTTACGACAAATTACGGTCATTTAGTGACTAAATTACGGTCATTTAGTGACTAAGTCCAAGTTTTACAGCGTGATGGACAAGCTGTGCACCGGCATGAATATAGTCCCATTAGTAAAGGCCTTGGCCGTTGACTACCTGCAAAGTGCCAGTAACCGTTTTGGGCAAGAGTTCAAGGTAATTTCTCTTAGACACTGATCTAGAAGCCTGAAATCTTAGTAAAGCATAAGGGCACAATTTAGGATGCCAGCATCGCGATGACTGAAGACGGCGAACTGAGAATGGTGAACAAAGCTATCGAGGCCATTGTGTATGAAACGATGCAAAAGAAACCGGCTCGTATCTCTTCAGAGATGAAAGCAAGAAACACCGTCAGCTAAATCGGTCTTAGATGATGGTTTCGCTCCATCTGCACTCGAATCTGTCATGTATTGTTCCGAAAGTTAGACTGACTGTATTGGGACCAACTGAAGGTGCACATCTCGTTATTGATGATGAATCCACAAGTTTATTCCTTGTTTCTCAAATTGCCTAGGGGAATTGGATGTCATGCCACGATGATTTTGACCAACTGCTGTGCAAGGGGACGGGTGGCTTATGAATCCTCAAGAATTCTTTCCTTGAATGAGGAAGCCAGGACCACCGATCAGAGGGGTAAAGACACTGTCGCGGCTTGGTGTAACAAGGAAGCTAATGCCTTCGCTTAACCCTTACGCCTTTATCAATAGCAGCACACGTGGCGTCTGCGCCCTATCGCGTACGACGTGCTCTCTCGCGTTTTCACTCTCCTCGCACTGGTCGAGTCTATCTATCGTACGTCGTGTCTCACAAGAGAAATTTCAGTGTTCTCTACGGTGATTTCCTTTTTCCCTGCTAACGGTCCTCTTCACTTTCTTTGTCTATTTTTCGGGCAAAGTGACACACATCGATCGAGACCTAGGCCTTCAAGAAACTGTTCCTCCAAGAGACGCTCAATTGGTCGTTTTTTGGACCTTAAGCTCGATTAATTCCACAGATTGGCAGTCAAATCTACATAGAGATGATTTGTGAAAGAAATTAACATGAACTTGTACTTGAACATTCTATTATTCCTATCAATACTTGATATTGTATCTTCCTTAACAGTTTCTAAATGTACAAGTAACAATTACAAGTACTCAAAAATTTTTATTAGTAAATTTTACGCAATTGAATGTTATGAATCCCGTTTAAGAAAACACTCGTCTTACAGTGCACAGATTCTGCAATACAAACGTAGTACATTAAGGAGTTTTCGCCTTACACACATTCCATGACTACCCATGTGTAGTTCGCTCCGCCCGAAAATGAAAGTTGATATGACTGGCTGG